ACTGTCAGTAAAAGTACTGCTAGGAGCAGAAAAAAGGAAAATTTGAGAGGGTTTTCGACGATAAAGTACTGCTACTGTCAGAAAAAGTACTGCTACTGTCAGTAAAAGTACTGCTACTGTCAGTAGAAGTACTGCTAGTAGCAGAGATTTTTATCGTTGTGGTCCGACGGTTAAGCCACAGACGAATGTCCGACGTCCCACCAACCGAGTCCAATCTCAATCCAGAAGAACCGAAAGCACCAACCCCTGCACCTCAGTTCCAGCAAGTCCAATCTCAATCCAAATTCCAATACAAATCGAAGAGAGACCAAGAGTTCGAAGAAGGTCTGAACCGCTTACGCAAAGAGTATGCTACAGCTCCAATTGAGAGAAAGTTGTTGCTAAATTCAGTAAAAATAATGTTTAGGGTAGAATGTTAGATCTAACATGTTTTCTAACCTCTTTTCTAACCTCTTGAATTTTCAAGATTTCTTCGTAAATGTTTTGTCAAGACTTCTTCGTAAATGTTTTGTCAAGATTTCTTCGTACATGTTTTGTCAAGATTTCTTCGTACATGTTTTGTCAAACATGAACGTAAATGTTTTGTCGAAACTTCATCGTAATGAGCGTAAATGACCCAAAAATAAAGTTTATGTTAGAATGTTAGATCTAACACGTTTTCTAACACGTTTTCTAACATGGTCTAAAACTCTTGAATTTTCATGAAATTTACACCAAAAATAATGTTTATGTTAGAATGTTAGATCTAACACGTTTTCTAACATGTTTTCTAACCTCTTGAATTTGTCATGACTTCTTCGTAAACTAAACGTAAATGTTTTGTCAAGATTTCTTCGTACATGTTTTGTCAAGATTTCTTCGTAAATGTTTTGTCAAGATTTCTTCGTACATGTTTTGTCAAGATTTCATCGTAAATGTTTTGTCAAACATGAACGTAAATGTTTTGTCGAAACTTCATCGTAATGAGCGTAAATGACCCAAAAATAATGTTTATGTTAGAATGTTAGATCTAACATGTTTTCTAACACGTTTTCTAACATGGTCTAAAACTCTTGAATTTTCATGAAATTTACACCAAAAATAATGTTTATGTTAGAATGTTAGATCTAACATGTTTTCTAACACGTTTTCTAACATGGTCTAAAACTCTTGAATTTTCATGAAATTTACACCAAAAATATAATTTATGTTAGAATGTTAGATCTAACATGTTTTCTAACACGTTTTCTAACATGGTCTAAAACTCTTGAATTTTCATGAGTTTTGACACTTTCACAAAAAACATAAAAAACATAAAAAACATAAAAAATAAAGTTAGTTTTTTTAAAAAAATATTTTTTATTTTTATTGTAAGAACATGTTAGCAACAACTTCACCAAACTCGTTAGTCATGAACCCAACTTCAATGTTAGTAGAGATGAAAAGCTTCATTCCTTCTTCATATACTTTCGAAACAAAAATCCAGAAGATAAAGCAAGAACTTTTAACAAGTAATTTAGACTGTAGTGCGAAAGATGAAACAAATGAACAGTATCTTTATGAAATGCAGGACATTATTGACCATTTACCCAAATTGCCTGAAATCCAACAACAAAAACTAACCATTCCCGAATTTGACGAAATAGAAGTCAAAGCAACTGACTCAGTAGAAATAAAGAAGTTCATACGAAAGGTAAATTATGAATTCCTTGGTTTTCATTGCAACCATAAGGTTATGGACAAAGATTGCGACATGGTATATAAGAACATCTCTGACCTTTACAAATCTGGGGAGTTTAAGACCTACGACAACTTTGTTTCGTTAGTTGCTGAATGTGTTTGGGAAATAAGAGATAAAGATAGTAGGGGTAAGGTATGGAACGAACAAATAAGACCCGCTATGTTTGAGTTAAAGAAAACCATTGACGCCTTGGTTGTTTTAGCAGGTAAGGTTTCAGAATATAACGCTAAAATGAACCCGCAATGTTCAAAATGTAAAGCAGCAATGAGGAAATATAACTACTCCGTCAAAGAGATAGAACGTATGCGAAACGACTATGCAGATTTAAAGAAAGAAGCAGAAAAACCAGCAGAAGATAAAATGAACATGTTAGAATTTCTGAACAAAAACTATCCAACTGCTGACGATTTCCTTCTATCTGACGTCAAGAAGAAGTATAAAGAAACTTTCGGTATCGTTAAAACTTTTGACATACTGACAGAAGAAATAGAAGCTACGAAATTGTTTAGAGTCATGAACCATCGCAACATATACCATGTAAAACGCTTGTAAATAGTTATGTTAGAAAACATGTTAGAAAACATGTTAGATCTAACATTCTAACATAAACATTATTTTTGCTGAATTCCGTATGAAATTTCATGAGTTTTGTATGTTTTAGACCATGTTAGAAAACATGTTAGAAAACATGTTAGATCTAACATTCTAACATAAACATTATTTTTGCTGAATTCCGTATGAAATTTCATGAGTTTTGTATGTTTTAGACCATGTTAGAAAACATGTTAGAAAACATGTTAGATCTAACATTCTAACATAAACATTATTTTTATTGAATTCCGTATGAAATTTCATGAGTTTTGTATGTTTTAGACCATGTTAGAAAACATGTTAGAAAACATGTTAGATCTAACATTCTAACATAAACATTATTTTTGCTGAATTCCGTATGAAATTTCATGAATTTCATGAGTTTTGTATGTTTTAGACCATGTTAGAAAACATGTTAGATCTAACATTCTAACATAAACATTATTTTTATTGAATTCCGTATGAAATTTCATGAATTTCATGAGTTTTGTATGTTTTAGACCATGTTAGAAAACATGTTAGATCTAACATTCTAACATAAACATTATTTTTATTGAATTCCGTATGAAATTTCATGAGTTTTGTATGTTTTAGACCATGTTAGAAAACATGTTAGAAAACATGTTAGATCTAACATTCTAACATAAACATTATTTTTATTGAATTCCGTATGAAATTTCATGAATTTTGTATGTTTTAGACCATGTTAGAAAACATGTTAGAAAACATGTTAGATCTAACATTCTAACATAAACATTATTTTTATTGAATTCCGTATGAAATTTCATGAATTTTGTGTGTTTTAGACCATGTTAGAAAACGTGTTAGAAAACATGTTAGATCTAACATTCTAACATAAATTATATTTTTGGTGTAAATTTCATGAAAATTCAAGAGTTTTAGACCATGTTAGAAAACGTGTTAGAAAACATGTTAGATCTAACATTCTAACATAAACATTATTTTTGGTGTAAATTTCATGAAAATTCAAGAGTTTTAGACCATGTTAGAAAACGTGTTAGAAAACATGTTAGATCTAACATTCTAACATAAACATTATTTTTGGGTCATTTACGCTCATTACGATGAAGTTTCGACAAAACATTTACGTTCATGTTTGACAAAACATTTACGATGAAATCTTGACAAAACATGTACGAAGAAATCTTGACAAAACATTTACGAAGAAATCTTGACAAAACATGTACGAAGAAATCTTGACAAAACATTTACGTTTAGTTTACGAAGAAGTCATGACAAATTCAAGAGGTTAGAAAACATGTTAGAAAACGTGTTAGATCTAACATTCTAACATAAACATTATTTTTGGTGTAAATTTCATGAAAATTCAAGAGTTTTAGACCATGTTAGAAAACGTGTTAGAAAACGTGTTAGATCTAACATTCTAACATAAACTTTATTTTTGGGTCATTTACGCTCATTACGATGAAGTTTCGACAAAACATTTACGTTCATGTTTGACAAAACATGTACGAAGAAATCTTGACAAAACATGTACGAAGAAATCTTGACAAAACATTTACGAAGAAGTCTTGACAAAACATTTACGAAGAAATCTTGAAAATTCAAGAGGTTAGAAAAGAGGTTAGAAAACATGTTAGATCTAACATTCTACCCTAAACATTATTTTTACTGAATTTAGCAACAACTTTCTCTCAATTGGAGCTGTAGCATACTCTTTGCGTAAGCGGTTCAGACCTTCTTCGAACTCTTGGTCTCTCTTCGATTTGTATTGGAATTTGGATTGAGATTGGACTTGCTGGAACTGAGGTGCAGGGGTTGGTGCTTTCGGTTCTTCTGGATTGAGATTGGACTCGGTTGGTGGGACGTCGGACATTCGTCTGTGGCTTAACCGTCGGACCACAACGATAAAAATCTCTGCTACTAGCAGTACTTCTACTGACAGTAGCAGTACTTTTACTGACAGTAGCAGTACTTTTTCTGACAGTAGCAGTACTTTATCGTCGAAAACCCTCTCAAATTTTCCTTTTTTCTGCTCCTAGCAGTACTTTTACTGACAGTAGCAGTACTTTTACTGACAGTAGCAGTACTTTTACTGACAGTAGCAGTACTTTTTCTGACAGTAGCAGTACTTTTACTGACAGTAGCAGTACTTTTACTGACAGTAGCAGTACTTTTACTGACAGTAGCAGAGATTTTTATCGTCCAACCTTACAAATGTAAACTTATATCGTTCTATTTTCTTCACTAGGGTCTAACACCAAAATAACCTTACAAATGTAAACTTATATCGTTCTATTTTCTTCACTAGGGTCTAACACCAAAGTAACCTATGTACATGAAATTTCACTGCATAAAAGGAAAAAACCTGCGCGAATCGGGATTTGAACCGAGGTCTTCGACGCCTTTAACGAGGTAGCCCATACCACTGAGCTATGAGCCGCTTACATATTCACAAAAATAAATTGTTTTCATGAGTTTTCTACGATGTTAGAAAAGAGGTTAGATCTAACCTTCTACCCTAAACATTATTTTTCAATACTTTTTCAGCACTTTTCCGTAGTTATATATGAAAGACAATTCGAGATAAAAGTCATAGTACAATGGAATAATATGTTGCACACCATTTGTTGTGAACCAAACTTGAAAGTCAGAGAAACTGTTACTAGGTGGTTCGTAGAATTTAGAAGCAAAGTCATAAAAGTCCTTACCGATACATAGAAAACTGTTGTTGCTTGAACTGAAACTTGCATGACACATGACATTTTGAGGGTCAAACACATTTCTATAAACTGTCAAATCTGTTGGTGGGCGTATAAATTTAAACGGACCGTCAGGTGGTAATGGTTCGTTCTGGTTTAGTAACCGAAGAAATTGTGCCCAAGAACGTTTGTCTACTTCCCAAAATAAAAACTGTGTATCTCTTGGAGGGTTATTTTCAATCCTTTGAAATGAAACTGTGGAGTTCATCTTGTCATATTCTAGCTTCAGATAGTATGTTCCATTTAGTAAAGAGTCGTATTTTTCTTGAAATTCCCAATAATATTTGTTCATTTGAGTTTGAAAGTCATTTAGAGTCTTCTCAAGGTTTTCGTCTGAACGAATTGTAAAGATTCTCATTTCGTCAAATTTGTCTATTAGACCATTAGAACCTCTATACTGACCATGAAAATATACTGCGAACATAAATGCGTTAGTTCTTTTTGAAAACAAAACTCTTCTAAATCCTATTGCCTTTGCATCTGAAGGACTTTGAAGCCAACGAATTGGATAGTCAAACCTGTATGTTCGGGATGAAATTTCTTCATCTGATATTGTCCTACCAGCGTTTGTGAAGATATAGTCTAACGGTTTTGTATCTGCTACTTTTGTTCTTTGTTTTTCAACCTGAAATTTAATATATGTAAAAAAATACTGTTTTAAAAAATGTTTTAAAATGGTATGCCATATAGCTTCTTGAATTTGTTAAGATATAGTCTAACGTATTTTCCATCTGCATCTCTAGCGTTTACATAAGCATAGCCTTCCTTAGTAAAACATACTTGTAATTTCCTATAGTTTACGCCGGTATAAAAGTAGAAAGAGTCTTGTTCTTCGCTATAGTAGTAAAACTCAAGCGTATGCTTGCCATAGTCTGTAATTTCAATTGTTTCATCTTCTAGTTCGTCGACAAATTCGAATACAATATCTCGAAATTTGCTTTTGTTCTTATTGTTTTCAGAACGAGTGACCCAACGCAAGTTCTCAAGTCTATTGTCGTTTCTTATACGGTTTATATGGTCTACAAAAGGTAAATTGTTAGGATTCGGTATAAAATGAGTTGCAATGACAACATGTTTAAAATAGTGTTTTCCACCATCTTCATAGTAGTATATCCGTTATTTCGCTCCCATTCGCTTAAAACTCTTTTTGTCTCTTTGTTTCTGACTTCAAATGACTCACAACAGTGAATTTCATATTTCTCATCTAACAAACAAGTTTCCCAACGGTCTGTTCCAACAAACTCAGCGTACATTTCAAATAAAATAAAAAAATGTTTTTTAAAAATATTTTGTTTTAAATGGTATGCCATTTCATATTTCTCATCTAACAAACAAGTTTCCCAACGGTCTTCTCCAACAAAACTCAGCGTACAGTTCAAATAAAAATAAAAAAATGTTTTTCCTTTACTTTACGTAACCACCAGCTACCATAAGTCTTTGACGCCAACCCATACCAGCTAATGAAGGTTGACTTGGTTTAGTTTCAATACTAACCTTTGGTTTTGGCTTCCCTTCTTCTATTGGCTTCCCTTCTTCTATTGGTTTTTCGTCACTTTTCGGTTCTGCTGACTTTACTTCACTTGCTGGTCTAGTTGTGTCGTCAACATCTTCATAAATATCATATGCCATTTGTTTTTGTTTTCCTTTCAACTTTTTGTGTTTGTTGTAAAGTTTAGAATATTTCGACTCTAAGTCAATGAGATGTTCTATAATGAACTGTTGGTCAGTGAAGTAAACTTTTCCATCTGTTGTCTCATAAACTCCTTCAGACTTCAATATTTTATTTGTGAGAGTTTGTTTCTTTTTTGAGATACTAGCCGTTCCATTTCTATGAAAAGTGACTTTGTAGTTAGGGTTTGCATTTCCAGACCTGGCACCTTCTATTATTGAATTTTTCTCTTCATCTGTAAGTTCTTTGACAGGTTTTGACAATGGTTCTGAACTTTTTGTTTGTGGTGTCAAATCTACCGTTTCAACTTCTTCGGTCATTTCATCTCAGTAAAAAATTTTAGTTTGGTTTGTTTTCAACTGGTTGTTTAGGTTTTTTAAGTCGGTCTAAAACTTCCTGAGGTATAGGGAGGACTTGACAAACACGTGGTGTAACTGCTGGAAGCCGACAAATCCATCTTGAACCCATTTGTCTCAATGCTGTATGTTCATTTTCATCTCATAAAAACTTTACATTCCCCAAGTTTGAGGTGGTTGCGGTTGGTTATTGTTTACCCATTGTTGTGCATGGTTATATCCTCTGTTAAAGAATCTTTCACCTTGGTCCATATAGTGCCCTGCTTGGTTATAGTAGTCATTTGCTTTGTTATAATAGTTTCCTACTTGTCTTCCTACATTGTCCATCCATCCTTGAACTTTTCCTCTTGTTTCAGGATTTGGAATAAGATTTGCTGCATTCGTGCTACATCCAACCTTTCTGTACAGTTTGTATAATAGGTTGTGCTTTTCTTTCAGTATACCTAATGTACTCAAAATCTTCCTTCCAACTCCAAATACACCTCTGGCTATTGTTCCCTGCGGGCAAAAATCTGGATGCAACTCCTGCTAATGCGCCAAATAAACCCATTTCTTATGGGTTAAAAAATGACGAATCCAAACAAGGACCCCTATGTTTCTAAAGCGACAAAGAAAGCACTCATGGTAAAAATCTTTAGTTCAACACCAAATGCTTGGTTTATGGATATCTTGGAAAACATTCCGAGAGTTAGAACAGATGGACCTCCATACTGGTTAATATTTGTTGGTCAAAACACAAGATACTGTGAAGCCATACCATTATGGTCCAAAAATATTTTAGATGTGAAAACTGCTTTGACAATATTCGTTGACAAATACCATCCAACACAAACTGACATCTGACTGTGAAATTCTTTCAAATCAGACGATATTAAAAACTATCTGCGTTCAAAAAATGTAAACCAATATTTCATTGTCGACCAAAACCATTCTGCTCTTGGTGTCATTGACAGTTGTATAAAAATCTTAAGAGACTTAAACCAACCAAAGGTGGTGAAGCAAATGAAAGTCATATGACGACAAATATAGACCTTCTCCATGGCAAAGATGAGACAAGTTTTAAATATTTACAATAGCCGTAAACAAAAAGGTTTGGGAAACCACTCCCCCGAAGAAATGAAAAACAACCCTGACTTAGAGAAAGACTATATATTTAATAGTTTAGTCAAAAGAGACAAACAAGAAAGAATGCCAGGCTTCAAACTTAAGAAAGGTGACAAAGTAAAAATAGAAATACCTAAACGCGACCCATATGAAAATACTATTGACTATGACAACAATGGGAACTCGACAGGTACTCGCATTCGTGTTCGTAAAAATAGAAGAAAGTATACAAGAGAATATTATGAAGTTTTAGGCAAACATGGCAAAATGTACAGACTGCAAGCAGAAGATAAAACTACTATTGTCAGACCTCGTTTCAAACTTGTTAAGGTTCAAGGTGGTATACTTTCAAAGACAGTTCCTAACAAATATAAGACAACTCCTGACGAATATGCTAAAGAAGTGGAACATGACGACTAAGCATTTCTATACCATGCGTAAACTGTCATGTAAGGTGGCATGTAGTCTTTACTTTGTCCCGTTGTTTGCGTATACCCTGAAACGCGATGTGTATGGTTTCCTTCTCCCTGTGTGCTACCCCAGAAACAATTTATAGCAAACTGAACGTTGTCTTTAACATCATATCCTTTACCTTTTTTCATTGCTGACCAATCCCAAAATCTATGCTTATGCCAACCTGCTTCAGATGTAGCTAAATCTATGTAGTGACTGTGTGCAGGTAAATTTGCACCTGAAATCGTTTTACTTCCACCTGTTTCCTTTGAAGAGTTTGCACAATACAAAAACCTGTCGACTATTTGAGTCCAAGTTCCAAAACCAAGTACTACTTCTGGTTTGGTAGAGTTCATTGACGTGTAAATAGAACCTATAGGATATAGTGTTTGAAGTATTTCAATCTTTAATGTTTGAAGCTCTGTTTTGTCAGCTTTTTTATCATATAAATCTTGAGCAGTGAATTTAACTTTGTTTTCATCCTCCATGACATAGACATTTCTACATCTAGTGTATTTCATCGTTGTTATGTCTTCATCCGATGTTAAACCTTGTGGAAAGTTAGGAGGTTTCCAATTTAATACATCCCCACCAGTTTCTTCAACCGTTCCTTCAATATTTTCTATACCAACAGTTGCGAAGAAATCGTGTGTATGGTTCTTATCTGCCTTCTTTTCAAGGCTAACGTTTAAGTCTGTTATTTCAGAAGATGTATGTGTATGTCCAACGTCACTTTTCCTGTTTAAGGTTTCTTGTAAGTTTGTAATATTTGCAATGGTATGTGTATGTCCAACGGCACTTTTACTGTTTAAGGTTTCTTGTAAGTTTGTAATATTTGCAATGGTATGTGTATGTCCAACGGCACTTTTACTGTTTAAGGTTTCTTGTAAGTTTGTAATATTTGCAATGGTATGTGTATGTCCAACGTCACTTTTCCTGTTTAAGGTTTCTTGTAAGTTTGTAATATTTGCAATGGTATGTGTATGAGTCTTTTTAGAATATTCGTTTTCAGCTCTTGTCACTTCACTTGACATTTTATTGTCAACATATGTTTTGTCCGCTAGTTCAGGATGAGTATGTTCTTTCGTTGCATATGTTGCATCTGCTCTGTCATGTTCTTCTTGAACTTTTTCAATGACATACTCTTTGTCAGCTTTGTTGTCAACATCTGCTTTCAAAAGAAGTTCATCTATAGGTTTCTCGTTTAAAGTTCCTTTTGTTGGATTTACACAGACAGTATGGTTCTTACTGTCTTGAAACAGAAACTCGTCTGTTAAAGGTTTAATGTCAGTTTTAAGTTTCCTTCTTTCAATGACTCAGATATCTTAGAATAGTTTGAAAAGTTTGTTGTGTTCTTATTTAGAGCTTGCAAAATGAGTTGTCGGTTGTGTTGTATTTCTCTCATAGACGCTGTTTCTTTCGACATTTTTATTCTAGATAAAATATGCTTTCAATAGAAAAAGAAAATTCAAGAGTTGCTACAACTAAACCATTAGATGAACTTTTTACGAATGTCGGTCAAAAGTTTGAGACAGAGACCGTAAAGCATGAAGGCTATCGTTTTGACTACCCATTGAGATGGCTAAGAGACCCATCCGTCACAAAAGCTATTGGCTTTCGTAGAATGAAGTTCATTTCAGAAGCCATACATGGTTTCCCATTTACGGTCGCTTTTGAAATTCGATACTATAACAAAGAAAAACATACGTATGAGAAATTTGAACAGGGAAAACTTTTACAAGTGAATTTGCTTGTAAACTTAGAAACAACTCTTCAAGCTTTTCAAGAAAAAATAAACGATATCTACCTCGAATATGCAAAACAGTACAACATTGACGAAGGAGAGTACCATCTCGATATTATATATGACAGGAAAAATGCAACTGTTAAAATCAATAGAATAGAAGACCTTGGAGAAAACGTTTATATTTCTACAAAATATAACAACTTGGCATGGCATAGATTTCTGAGGATGTTAAATCAGCCTGCAGCATATCCAGTACACCCGAACTTTTATGAAGTCGAAAACCCTAATGGAACATATGAAAATGTTTTCGACTCAGATGCTATTATAGTTCATGCTTCATTTTCTGGTGCACAAAACTCTTTTTTATGCTTGGCAAATGACTTTTACGAAAAACCTACAAAGCTATATGAACCACCGAGTGGAAGTATTTCAGACTTTCAAGTATGGTTTACAACAGATGGAAGAAAGAGAATAGTTCCATTATACCATGCGTTTTACTTAGAACTTAGTTTCATATACAACTACTATCGAACGGTAAAAATATGATTTTAATACGGTTGAGGTGTTGGATTTGGTTGCCAACTAGACTGTGGTGCAGGTTCAGGCTGTTGTATAACAGGAGCTTGTTCTTCTGGTTCAGGGTCTTTAGGTATAATACCAACAAACTGACCTACTCTTTTACCAATATTTTTGACTCCGTTCCAAATTCCTCTTCCGACAGATTTTATTCCATTCCATATACCTCTTCCAACATTTCGAAAGAAGTTTCCTATTCTTCCAAAGAAACCCATTTTACTATATGTAAAAATCTAATGTCCGCCTAGTCTCTTACGTTTCCTGTTGAGTTCCATTGCATTCTTTAACTGGAGCTCATACATTCTATTTCTCCTCTGGTAGAAAACATACTCTGGGTCAACTCCTGTGTTCGCGTCATCTGCATAGAGTTGTTTATATCCCACTTCAGGGTTTGTATAAAACTCTTTCCATCTCATATTTGCATACCATGGTGGCAAACCTAACGCAGCGTCATTTGACATGGCAGTTTGCATTTGTACATCTGTTGGCACTTGACCATAGTTTGCCATTGCAGTTTGTATTCTAACTTCATTTGGAATATTCTCTGGGTTTGGTTGTCCAGGTTGCTGTGCATTCGCTAAGTTCTGTGCGTCCATTTAATATTAGATAAAAATATCTCTTACGAGTACATATACTGGACATTTGCAGGCATTGGTTCATCTTCATATTCTCTATATCTTTCTGCCACGTCAAATAAGTAAATGACACAATGGAAAAAACCTAAAACAAGTAGTCCTATTTCAAACCACATTTACTTACCAATAAAATTTCTTTGTTATGACACTTTCTCCAGTTTATAGGACCTCTCTCATATTCTATCTTATCGTATCTAAACTCATAGTCATGTATGTCCTCTAACCATCTCATGACACTTTCCAAACCACTTTTATCGGATGTAAAGTAAAAGCATGGATGGTTATGTAAAACGTCTAAAGTTTCTAAAGAGTCTCTCAAAGTCCAGTCTACTTGGTATTGAAAATCCCATGTGTTATAGAACGGCGGGTCCACTATAAAGAAAACATTTTCCTTGTCTTTATATTTTTCATACAAATCTGTCCAATGACATCTCACAAACTCTATACCCTCAATATATTTTTCTATGTCCTCTTTGAAAACATTTGTATAGTTAAGATATAAAACTTTTGACATAAGTGTTTCAATGTCATGAACTCTTATAGCACCACTATATAATAGTCTAGCAGATATACTATCCCAGTCTATATATTCTGCTTTTTTCAAAACCTCTCTCACAATATTTTTGTTATCTAATGGTATACGTTCCATCTTACCTATAGGTATCTTTTCTTTTAACTCTTTCAATATATTGTTTGTGTCTGGTATATGTTTGAGACGGTCCATATAGTTGTCGAAGTCATTGCATATAATCTTTGAGTCTGGGAATATTGTATGACATAAATGGGATATATAGAAACTTCCACCGAACAAATCTACAAATGTTAGACCATTCGGTAGTTTCTTAAGTTCTCTCAATATAATATCTTTACATCTACTCTTATTTCCAAAGAACGGTAACGGTGGTTTTGTAAAATTCATTTATATATAATAATAAAAATGTTTTTACCCGAAAAGTGACAGAAAAGTGACAAAACATGAAAACATATATAATTTGTGAAAAGCTCCTGGAAGCCCTCCGAATAAAAACTTCATTTATACTAAACATCTTCAGGGCTAGAGGGCACGAAGTGCCTGGAAGCCCCACTACCTTTTTTTTTTTTTTTTTTTTGTTTTGATCATTAATTTACAAAGAACTTTTGTGGTTGGAATTCGTTTAAACCATTTATCATTAATATTTGTTATAAATTCAATATCTGGAATTAATTCCCAAATTTTTGCATTTTCAATTAATTTATTATCAAATGCAAAAGCAATAGGTTTAATATTAAACTTACCTTTATAATATATACTTTCTACATAATCATCGAAATAAACATCTACTTGTTTAACATTTTCAAGAATTGGTGAAAGAACATCCATTAATTGATTGACGGTTACGAATCTTGATCCACTCATTTTCATACGAATTAAAAAAATAAATTATTCAAAAAATGTAAGACATGAATTTTTAAAGTTTATTTTTCATTCATGAATGATAATTATATCTGATTTCTTTTACTCTCTCATACATACTAGATTTGAAGAATTCAGAACTTTTACCATAATCTCCTAAATGTTTTCTTATCCCCAACGTGTGCCAGTTATTATATGAAACTGAATAAACTTTATCTTTATCTTTACACCTTTCATCACTTCCAATATATTTATATCTCAGTTTTGATTTAGCATTTTCATATTCATTAACGTTTAATAATTCACAGTCTTCCTTTTTAAATTGATGTTTAAGATATTCAGGATTTAATACTCTACGTTTATATGCTCCTAACTTAGTTCTAAAGGTTTTTCTACAAAATTTAGGAATTCCATCCTCTTTAATGTCATCAATGATTTCCATTTCATTATTTTCAATTTCTTCTTCTCGTTTATGAGGTCTTTGATTATGACTCCATTGATTCCATGAAATTAAATATTCTTTATCATTATATTTATACCTCATTAGCTTATTTTGGCTTTCATATTCATTTAATAATTCACAATCTTCATTTTTAAATTGAAGTTTAACCCATTCAGGATTTAAACAATGTTTAATTAATCGCGGAATATCTGACATCATCTATATATAGCTTCTTTTATAAAAGATAAAAAAATAAATTATTTTAAAATTAATGTTAATTTTTTTAATGATTTATAAATAAATATATTTTAATGCATCGTCTATATATAGATGCAACAAAAAAAGTCACACAACCCGCACTCATATACTACTAAACTTGGATGTTATAGAATATATGAATAGCTGAGAATTAGTTATATTATCATTTATTAGTCTATTTGTATATCCCAACAACAAATTGAGATACATTAATGATATTCAAAATCAATTTTTTTCCACTGAAGAGACTAAATTGATCCCTTTGATCTCATTAAAATCTTTTAATCAAAGTTACACAAGTATAAGCTACCTAATATTCCAAAGGTTTATGAATATGTAATCAGATGTCGCTATCTCCTTTAGATCCTTTGATATTGCTGGGGCTTCCTGTCACTCTATCCCTTAATCTTGTGGTAATTGGATTAAAAGATAATCTTATAAATATGAAATTAAAAGATTATCATGGCTCATATTCACTGATTGGAAGCAAATAGAACCAAAATCGAGCCCCGCAAAGTTGCAGCATCTCGATTTTTCATGAAAATATAATTCATGCATGAATAGAATCAGGTACATTAAAAATATCGCATCAATTTGATAGATATAAGATAGATTTATGATTTAGTCAAATTTAGTAAGCTTTCAAGAGAAAAATTAAAAGAAATAAGTTCTTCAAGTACAAGGCTGTTATTCTTTGTGGATCTATTTAAAATGTTTTCAAATGAAAATGGATGTTCTGCTTCACATTTCCCTAATGAAAGAAGCGAAAGTGTAAGATTAAAAGGATCAGTTGTCATCTTATCTGTGTGAACTGTACCTGCATTACTACTACTTGCAGTAAAAGGATCTCCTGTACAGTTTATTACTGTGAGAATAGCATTTGTATCAGCACTGAAAGTATTTGGTGATTTGTTTTCTATGAAAATGCATTCTGAAACAGTAACATTTGATTCAGTTAATGTTATAAGTCCACTATGTGTATTCTTAATTTGAGCTGTGTTGTTTTTGAAGATTGATTTTTTAACAAAAGAATCAGGTGTTTCCCAATGACTCATGCAAATTGGGTTATTTAAATGGTTATCATTAGAAATGAAACAACAAAAGTTAATATTAACTGGATTATATTCAAAGCGATAACCAGCCCAGCGTCCACATCTCGTATTAGTGTTGTTTGTAGAAATAAGAGATTTTTCTCCATGGTCATGATATATACTGGCATCTCCAGTGTCATCATGGCCGCATTGAAAAAGAGAACTTAAATTAACTAAATTTTTGTTTGTTTCTGTTTTAACGTCGGTGTATGAATGCTTTCCATTGCTTGGTGTGTAGCATTTAATAGAGCAAAATCGGTCTTGTGCAATGGAACTGTCACCATAGAAGTAGATGCAGCCACCATATCCTTTATTTCGTGTAATATTAGTATATGTGCATATCGAATGTAGTAATTTAATCGATTTGATAATGCAATTAATGACATTGTCCGAAAAGTCTTCGAAATTTGAAGATAATAAGAAAAAATCGCCTGAAATAGTTGGTTTTGAATTATCTGTGATGTTTTTATAGTTAATTGCTGGTTTCCCGAAGTACTCTTCCCATATATCACTTGGAACTCCAGTTTTATTGAAAGCTCGAGTAAATAGAAGATTTCATTTTAAAAAAAATGATGAAAGAAAGCTTTTATGAAATTTCCTTAAAACAACAAAAATATTTATTCTTACAATAATAAAAAAAAATAATAATTTTCAATTAATAACAGTTTCAAACTTTGGCTCCATAAGTCTATAACTAACTCTTTTTCTTGCTGGCGAACTATTCTTCTTTGGCGATGGTAATCTTGTTCTTGACTGAAAAACAGGGAATTTTGTAATTTTGATATGAATTGGAGCATTAACAGGCGTTGGTTGGTATAATCTATCTGTTTTCCAGCGAAGTGCATTAGTTGTTTTCGTAGAATCTCTAAGCGCTGTTTCATTATGAGCTTCATTTCTGAAATTCAGCGTAGGAAGTGGGCTATCTTCAACTATCGGTGTAATAATCGGAGGAGGAAGTTGCTCAGGCTGTCTAGGCGAGTGTTTTGGTGTTGCGGGCTGTGTATACGCTTGTCGAGGAATTTCGATGGGAGGACGAATAGGAACTTTGATTGGAGGCGCTGTTTCCTTTGTCCAATCATAGACGTAGTCGTAAGTATATCCGAGGTTGTTAAAACAGTCGCGGAATAATTTTCTGTAAGAAGCGTAATCTGGTTCAGCTTCGAACTCCAATTCGCGTATTTTCTGGAAGTACTCTACGAATTCATTTGGAAAACCATAGCATAGCTCTTCAGGAGATGTTTGCATTTTTACGTCCAAAATTACTTGGTATTTCTGCTTGGATGTTTTAGCAGGAAGCCCTTGCCATGGCAATGATCCTCTTAGTAAATAGAGCCATACATAGCCGAGAGATTCGAGATCATCGCGCCTTGACTGCTCGAAGCCTTTCATTGTATTTATAGATGCGTAGCGAGCTGTGCCTGTCAGTGATTTATGGTCGCTGAAAGGAATATGCTTTCTCGTCTTTGGATTAATGTATTGTTTAGATAATCCGAAGTCAATTACGTAAACTTGATTAGAATGCTTATCTACACCCATAATGAAATTGTCTGGTTTAACATCACGGTGTAATATGCCTTTTGAATGCACATATTGTAAAGCTGATAAAGTTTGATCAGCAATCATTAGCACAGTTTTAACACTAGATCGCTTAGGCCCTTTCTGAAATAGATCTTCCAGACTTAGTCCAAGAAGTTCCATAGCAAGTACGTTATATTTCTCTTCTTTACCGTAATAAAAAACTTTAGGTTCATTAATGCCTTCTGAAAATATCGAATATATTTTGTACTCTAGTTCTAGTTGTGGTGATCTCGAGTCTGCAGCTTCTAATTTGACGGCGACTTTATCGCCAGTTCGAGTATCTTCGCCCTGGTAGATATCTCCAAAACTTCCGGCACCTATATGTTTCTCAAGTCTGTAGAAATTTCCAACAATTAGCCCTATTGGGTGCCGGGCGTCGCTCATAGTTGAAAATTTTAATAACGATAGAAAAATTGTTACAACAAACAGAAAAATTTGTTATTGAGAAAGAATTATTGTTCAATATTTGCTAATGAATTGAAATGCATAAAGAAATTTCAGCAGAATTTCATTAGTTGAAATTTTCAGATGTTCTCAGAATTAGAGAATTTGAACAATAAGGAAAAGTTTTCAAAGGAATCGAATTGATTTTATGTATCCTACATAGACAACATATAATTTGGATTTATGGTCAATTTGAATATTTGAATATAGATAAAAAAAATTATGTTTTTAAAATCATTTTTTCGATTTCGAAAAAAATTTGGAAGGAATCGAAAAATTTTGATATAGCCAATGTTATTAATTTTTGATAATTAATGTATTTTACTTTGAATTTATTCGATAAAATCATATGTTGAGCAATTTTATGATTAATTTTCGTGATATAGTGCATTTGCTCAAATGACATTCGTTGGAAACATATTCATATAATACATATATGTTTAGTGTATATATGGACAAAACCAATTTGCAAAAGGTTGATTCAAATGAAATCATTTTGGCATATTATTAGTAACTTATAGGCAAGAATAAACATTTTTAGGGATTGAGATACCCATCATCATTGTTTGACATTCTTTCAATGATAAAATAAAAATGAAATTGAAAATAAAACAAATAAATGGTTAGATAACATAAAAACTTTTAATACAATGGTAAACCTAAATCAATCAAACATAATAAATATAAAAACAATCAACATAAAATGAAAAATTAAATTTTTCATTGCAATCTCGAAATGACATTGTTAATTAGCTTCGATATCTGCATCTCCATGGCCGTGACAGTTGCCTTGGCGTATTCCAAAGGCGATGCAAGTCCGTCAATCGGCGCAAAATTCGAAACAAACCAAAAAATTTCTTCGTAGTTGGGAATTTCGGAATGGACAATAACTAAAAGAAAGACACCGAAAACAGCGTCAAATGACTGAGCATCGAAGCCGAATTCTTTTGAAACTCTTTCTGCGTAATTTCTGATGTAAGACAAGGTCTGGTGGACACAGGAAAGTATATCCAATGGCGAATTCATGAAAATTATATCGAAAATGGCCTTAACGGCTTGAGATAATTCCGGATCTGTGTTAATTACTTCGTCAATAGGGCGATCACGCTGAACAACGTCTTGGCATGCAAGAAGCTCTTCAACTGTAAGATGCTTTTTGTATTTGTGAACTTTTAATTCGATTTTAGGGAAAAAGAAGTCAGGGAAGAAAGACATCGCGAAATTAAAGATCGCCCTGAAGAATAGGATAGAGAATATCGCAACTTCATTGGGTTCTGTAGGCTCAAATCGAGTAATAATATCATTCATCGAATTTACAACTTGCATTGTAAATAATTGAGGTGATTTGAAGTTAGACTTGCTAAACAGATTCAATACTAGCCTGGCTTCAACGAAAGCCGGATTAAAAATAAAAGAATTAAATTTCTCTTGCATTGGTATTTCGTGATTCATATAAATGGTAGAGCCAAACTCCTTTTTGGCCTGTGCAATCAAATCAATGAAGCACTGACGTTGTTTCTCGAGATTTGTTTCGAAAACGATAGATAAATTAATTGAGTTGACGATAGAGTAGTCTTTTATTGAGTAAATCTGAGCCTTTGCGGAATCTGTCATCATTTTATTAAAGAATTCTTGGGTATTTACGTTAATAATCTGTGATGAAGTTGAATTGTAAGCTTTTTTCAGTTCGTCGACAAATATATTAGCGAATTCGAGTGTCTTTGCCCTGCTTTTGCATTTAGCACGGTATATCTTCCATTGCAAAAAGAAATGAATACGAGAGAGAGTAACTTGTTCTTTTGTCAAATATAACTCAATTTGAGGGAATTCTGGGATCTGTGGTTGCGTGTCTTGATACGTTATCTTCATAAATTGTCTATACGCTGCTAAAAATTTAACAATAGCGTTTTTTCTTGGTTTATCATCAGACATGTCATCGGGCCAGTCCATTTGTATAAAACTCATGTACTCTTGATGATCTAGAAGCCAGACACCAAAGGAATCATCCAAAAATGTTGATCCAATTACAGACATTGATTTCCCTCTTTGAATTTTATCGTTATCGTTGAACCAACGCTATAACAACGAAATGCTTGTTATAATGATATACTTTTCATCGTTTTGTCATAAAAATTAAATTCAGATCCCAATGAAAATCTTCAAAACTGCCAAGTACGAGTGTCAAAAAGATAACTCGCAAAAGTGACAAAATGAGTATCCCAAATGTGACAATAACGATAGATCATCAAAAAGGTGACAAATGGATTTTCACCCTATTCCAGAACAATTAATAAAGAAAGCTATTTCAGGACAACAAGGCAGTCCAGATTGGTCAGCGATATTAAATATCATATCAAAATTAGAAGGTAATGCTTCTGCGATGAATTTATTACTTGAATCCATGGCCAGATACATCCAGAAGGGCCCAAATTCAGCTAAATACAACACATTAATGCTTCTTGATGCATTATTTAAGAACGGAAAGAAGCCTCAGCTCTCAAAATTGCAATGTGATTTCTTATATCAGACCCTTTCCGACTCTTCAGTCAGTGATGACCCCAAACTCCAGAATTTCGTCCATGAAAACGTATCTGAGTGGGTAAAAGCCTGCGCAACAAACGATTGCTTAGATGATAAGTTTGTTCAGTGGCAAAAGACTAATGGCTCCTATCGTTTCATTGAAGGTCTAACATCCGATATGAGAGCTAAGTTCATAGAACAATTTGACACTTGTGCGGAAATGATTACAATTTTCTCTCAATTTTTGATCTCCGCTTATTTAGACAAAACTGGTGTTTCTACTCCTGTTATTAAAGAAATACTGCCAAATATTAGAGAAATTGAGCTCAGAACCGAAAAATTACTTCCAACTTTTAAAGATTTCCAAATGAAATCTTACTGTTCGGCTATTTACAATTTCGCAAGCGTTACAGTCGAATTCCACGACGCAATGAAGAAAGAAAAAAGTTTTGATATTAGTCGCGTAATAAAAGCCCTCAAAAACGTACAGAAGATAGCTCCTCAACCACAGGGAGTCGAGGTAGTCCCTGAAGTACAAGAAAAGAAGCCTTTAAGAACTGCTGGAGACGATATTACGGATGAAGAATTCTTTATCGAATTACATAAGCTTAAGAAGCCAGTTGCAGTTGTATCAAATGATCCTGTCGATCTATTAGGACTTTCAGCCCCTGCAGCTCAGCCAAAAGTCGATAATTTACTTTTATTTTAATTAATTACATATTTATTTGTTGTAACTTATAATAAAATAATATTGTTTAATTGCCATATACACAAATACAAAATGAAATCTTATTATTGTAAAATTATTTCTTAATTTGCTTTTGGAACTTCTTTTACAACATGACATGGGTTCCCAACAGCTACAACATTATCTGGTAAGTCATAAACAACAACAGATCCTGCTCCAATGACAACATTATTTCCAATTGTAACACCTGGTATAACAGTGCAATTTCCACCAAACCAACAGTTTTCTCCGATTGTTATTGGCTTTGTAAATTCAACTTTGGCTCTTCTAGCGTTTGGTTCTGTTGGATGGCAAGCTGTGTACAAGCTACAATTAGGACCAAACTTTGTATCGCTTCCTATTGTAACATAGCCTCCATCCAGAATGGTTGCATTGAAATTAAAATAAACATTTTTACCAACCTTGATGTTTGTTCCGTAATCGCAATGAAATGGCTGTTCGACATACAATGTTGGATCATCATTTTCAAAAAGCTCAGCTACAAGCTTGACTTTTTCTGCTTCATCTTCTACATCGCATTTATTAATTTTATTGCAAAGAGAATGAGCTTTATTTCTTCTCCTGCAGATATCAGGATCCCAAGCGCAATACTCTTCTCCTGAAACCATCTTTTCGAATTCAGTCTTTTCACCTTTATTAGTCATGTTTCTAATTTTTTTTATGACATCTCAGAAAAAAAAAAATTAAAAAAATCAATCATCAAATCAAATAAATCAAAGCATAAGACCTACTAATCTTGAATATATGGACATTTGTAAAATGATGAGAATGATCAGAATACAAAATTTTAAGTGTAATAGAATGATTTTATAATAATAAATTTACGGAAATGAATGAAAGCTAGGATTTGAGGGTTTTTGATATAATGTTTTTAATTGGTCTGTTCCAAAAAGAGATTTTTCGTTAATTAATCAAAAAATTAATTTTTATTTTATGAAAAAACATGTGAAAATAAAATAGATAATATATATTTTAGTTTTGAGATTCTTCAACATCAGATGAATCGTCGATATATTCACCCCAGTTGAAAGTATCTTCTTCTTTGAAGAAAGAGTAATCAAACAGCATCTCAAGAGTGCAGCCAACACTCCACGCCTGCATTGGACATCCTTCTGTGCAAACTTCTCCATCTGCCTGCGTCAATTCAGGTAATCCGCCTGTTATGCTTCTGTTTAGCCATCCCTTCATCTCGGCGAGCATTCTCTTCATCCTGTCTGTGAATCCTCTGCGGAATCTGAGCGATGCCCTGAAGAAATAGCCTGTTAACCAGACCCATTCTGGTCCGTTGTGGTAACAGTAGCCTTTGGACGTAAAGAAGTCGTTTGTGTCGTTGGAATTCTCGTAGCGTGGTCTGTAATAGCTGTCGCCTTTGTAAAGAGTTCTCATTCCGATCTTTCCGCAGAGATGTTTCTCCGCCATCTCAATTGCACGGACTGCGTGAACCTGATCGAAGATCTCAGGAGCAACAGTCATAGCAATTAAGAAATTCGGACGGAATCTGTAATCATGGCCTGGATTCGAGCTTCCAACAGTATCTTTGTAGATTCCACGTACAATGACTAAATCGCTATCGATTGCGTATACGCTGTCGTGCTTTGGATTGCTTGGAATGTAAAAGTACTGTTCGAAATTTGCGATAATAAGAGAATGCCAGTATTTCCATGTAATTGTTTTACCGCTAACGTTGACACCTTCTACTTTGATGACCTTTTCCGTATACAGTTTGGCCAGCCACTTAAGTACTGAAGCTAATAATCCAATAATTTCAACATCAGCACCATCTCTTGGCGAACCAGGGATTCCTTTATTGCCGGCAAGCTCGCTGGACCCGTTCTTGTCCATCCATGTTCCGCAGTTCTGCGCATTGCCGCCAATTACGAATCCGGTAGAAAAGTCAGTCACAACATCAACGTTAAAACCGTTTTCTGACATGTCAGAATCGATTTGAGAGCCAGCGTTCCATTCTCTGAAGTGGATACCGTTCGCGTGTCTCTGTAATATCTCGATAATGACGTCTATCATCTTTTCTTTGCGAACTCTGTCGACTCTGTGGAGATCGCTTGGGAATATCATCTTTACTGACAAGTTGAGGACTTCTGGACCATCAGGGGCCATGTCGTAGTAGTCCTGAACCGATTGTAAGAAGAACCAACAGGCATCTCTTGCATTATACCTCGGATTCCTGCAGCTATCGAGTAAATTCGGAATTAAACCATGTCGTAATACTGACGCGTATGCAACTAAGTAGTTCTTGGCATCCTCGTACCTTCCTGTGACAAGGAATAATCCTCTGAACGCAATGAACGTATCTCTGCCCCAGTTTCTCATGAAATCTGTAGAGAAGTGCGGTAACCCGGCAGCGAGAGATGCATTCCAGCCGTTTTGGATGATATTATATTTATCATTGATCTCTTTATCGACTAAAGGTGCTGATTTCGATACTCCGTGGAAGGCAACAGTTGCACATGCGAGGTTCTTGATGAAATCATCGCCATCTACAATCCATGTTGCCATTTTAGAGTAAATAACCTCTTTTGCAACGCCATTGATGGTTTTGAGTGTCATGTAGAGGTAGAGAGGCAGCAAGTAGCGAGGAATATTCTTGAGTTTGTTGAAAATCGTCTGTAAGAATAAAGAAAATTTACTTAAATTGTCAACTCTCAGTCTTTTTGTGGTATATTCCATGAGCCAGTCACCCTGGACGATATTCTTGAACAAAGGATGATCCATTCCTTTGATCGTTGTTGAGCATCTCTCAATAGCTCTGACAACTCCGTCAATTCCACAGTAAAACGTGGTTCCGTAGTCGTCGAAGTGGTAGGCGCCAGCGCCAACAGTATCATACTCCTCAGACTCACTCCTGTAAAGTAAGTAATTAAGGTCTGTAAGTGATAAATACTGTAATCTTGTTGAAACTTCGGTTGAAAATGTTTTTGAGGAAACTCTCTCAATTATTTGTGAGGTTACATTTGAAATTCCAACATCGAATAAAGCAACTGTTCCACCGACCATTCTATCGACTCTCAACAAATTATTTTCAATGAAAACCGTATTTTCGTTCTCAATTAATTTACAATTTCCATTTTTCATTTCTTTGCTGAGAACAATGTTTTCTAAGCGATATTCAAAGCGTTTCTTCATTTCGGTTGTCGGTAATGGAATATGATCTGGAGTTTCAAGCTGAGTATTGAACCTGACAATCATCCAGACGCCTTTTCCTGTCTTGTCGGCTCTTAAAATGGTCAAAATGTCCCCGAACGTTCGGTAGAACAAGTCATTTGCTGAAGATGCCAAAGATGTATGGAGTTCGTTCAATTCTTTGCGTACTTTGGATAGAGCAGGTGTTTCTGTAGGATACAAACGATGCTCTGTGACGCAACTTGGATTGAAATCTAATAAATTATCAAATCCACGCGTTGAAGCAATTGGAGAAGCGCTCATTGCGATCGGAGCCATCAATAACAACCTATCCTTTACATCATTGATGTTGTTATCATGCGTAAGATCGAATATAACCGCTGGTATTTTATCTGTTGGATGAATGTTGTTAACTGTTAATTGCGAAACATCTCCGACTCTTCCACCACCTGATCTTGTGATCAAACTGCCCATTTGTTCGGCAGATTGGTTATGACAACCTTCTCTCATGAATCCGTTGATTCCTAATCGCTGGATTATCTCGATATCCTCATCTTCACCGGTACTGAACAGTTCTGGCATGATGTAAATGTTGGGATTGACCTTTCTGATGGATTTTATGATATGTTCAACGACTTCGACAGGAGTTGCATGGGCATTATCGATCCTTATGGCATGAGCGATTTTTGCAACACGTGTGGCGTACTCTGTTGTATAGTCCCAGAGTTCTGGATTGTCAGATCTCTGAGTTCCGTAGCGTAGTTTGACAGTTGACTGCCAAGAGTTCAACTCTCTTGTAAGGTAAACGTCGGAGTTTGGTCCAGCAAGGTTAATTTTGGTGTGAGGACGAAGAATATATCCATTGCAAGCGTAATGAAGGGTTTTTCCATTAATGTTGTGTATACTGAATAATCTACGTGCTTGTTTGTTGTTCTTGAGCCAGTTGGCATCATTTGTTGCAATTGTATCGCATAATTTCTTGAATTTCTCGATTAATGACTCATTAATGAATTTAAGAGCCTTTTCTAATTCTTCCAATGATGTTTTACTGAGTTTTTCGCCTGTTCCCCAGTAAAGAGCTGCAGCAATGTTATAATCAATTTTATTTCCATTAATTCCTTTGGAAAGTATGTAATTAACCTTCTGTTGCTCAGTATAGTTCTTTGCACGTAATCTAAGAATCAAATCTGTCTTAGAAAGGTCTATAGTGCGATATTTGCTTAATGTTGAAATATAATGGTCAACGTCGATAAGGTAAAGCTTGCTCAGCTCGCTCTTAAATAATACATCGGAGAGATAATTCTTTGTGCCTTCAAAATCATTTAATCTTGTTTGGTCAATTAATTGAGAGGCTTTGTAAACGATATCGTCAACTAACATGGCTGTGGACAACCATGGAGCTGTCTCTTCTGTATACGCCCACTCCGGATGAGCATCAATGATCGTACTTTGAACTCTTAAATGATTCAAAACAACGTCGACCATGAAACCGAGATTTAGCTTCTTCTCGACATCCTTAAGGGTATCGCCGAGAACTTGCCAGCGTTTTTCAGGTGGTGCTGATGTAATTTCGTCGGATATTGATAAAAAGTCGGAAATAGAGTAAAGAGAACTATTTTGACAATTGGCAAATGGTGGGAGATGAACAATATTATAGCCTTCATCTGCTATAACCTTAAGATTCTTCACCCAGTCCTCAAGTTTTCCAATGCAACGAGCATAGTTCGTTTGAATGTTTAATGCACTTGGAGTTAGCTTTTTGCCATTAATGGTGATAATCGGATCGATGATATAATGGACTTTTGGACCTTCATTTGAATTTAATTTCAATTGTAAGTACCATTTACCTGGATATTTGAGGATTGAAGAGAACACATAGTCTTCCATGATCCTAAACTCCTTGATTGGCTTAAAATTACTCTCCTCAGGCATATTCGTGATGATGCTGACATCAGCATTGTGAAAATTAGTGCCAACAGGTATGCGGACAAGCAATTCTGTCTCTCCGCCATCAAAACGAATGATACCTTGTCCGGTGCCACCGTTTTCATTTAGAGTTAATTCAAGCTTTTTCATCTAAACAAAAATTGACGAAGAAGAAAAAAAAATTCATAAAAAAAAGTTCATATCAAAAATAATCGCATCTACCGTATTGTTTTCTCATTAACATGTAATTATAAAGCATATAACGCCCTTCTTATGGAAAAGTATGAAGGCGAATCCTTAGCCCGATACGTGAACGTTTTCGTTTATTTGTTGATTGTTTATAAAAAAATATCATTAAAGAACACTAATTTCTTTATTTTTAGACAATACGTTTTATATACGATTGGTTTCAATCATAATAACTTGTAATATCGCATTTTGATCATATTGCTAATTTCAAATTGTTAGAATATTTGAACAATTCAATCATATTATTGAAGTATTATTTATGGATGTTAATCTATTCGTCCAGAATTATCATTATTCCTATTGTTGTTGGAAGAATTATTCACAACTATAGGAAGTTCATATTTTTGATCGTTATTTTGTACACAATAGCCAGTTTTATTAATTGTTGAGCAAGAAAATCAAATTATAAAAATATTACAATTGATAGAAATTGATACATTCAATTATGTAAATCGACGATTATTATCGATTCAATTAATATAGGAACTTTTTTTATGTAAAAGATATTTTTAATCTAATATTCGATCTATGATATATTTATATAATGATGAATAATTAAGAAGTTTATATTTTAAATAAAAATTTTTGAAATTTATTATGACTTCAGCTCAAGGAGTCAAAGTCATACTTTGTGGTGAGTCTACTGTTGGAAAGACAACACTTCTGAAAGCTATAACCGGTCAGAATGTGAATGAACCCATTTCTCCAACAATGGCAGCTGCATTTACAATATTAACACTGAAAAATCCTCAAAATGGCGAGAAAATTGTCTTCAATATATGGGATACTGCTGGACAAGAAGCATATCGATCACTTATTAAAGTTTATTTTAGAACCGTACAGATTGCACTCATAGTCTTTGATGTTACAAATAGCGAAACATTCGAAAAGATTGACCAATGGATAAATGATATAAATAGTAACGCAGGAACTGAAAAATACAAGTGTATTATAGTTGCCAATAAATTAGATCGTGAGAGCGAGCGAACTGTTACGAAGGAAGAATTATCACAGAAAGGTTTTCTACATGGTACACGATTTGTTGAAGTTTCTGCTATGACAGGTGAAAATATAAACGATTTAAAGAATTTACTCATAGAGATGCATAATAATCCTATGGCTACACGTCCTCGTCTAAAAAGTATATACAGAAAAGAACCAATTCCTGTTGATCCACAGGATGATGAATTATTGCCAGAGAACCATTATAGTACGGTTATTTTAACTGAAGGAAAGAAAAAACACAATTGTTGTAAGTAGAAAAGATGTTGCTAAAGGTTATTTTTTATGTTTTATATATAATTGAGAAACGTGACATTTTTTTTTCATTTCGAAATTTTGAATTTCGATGTAACTTGGTCTGTATAAAAAATTATAATCCAGCAATTTTTCTTTCAAAATTAAAAAAGTTTTCTTTGAATTTTTTTGAACTAAAAACGTGACATTAATCCCGTCTTACTTTGAATTTTTAAAAATTTTAATGGATTTGGACGAGGAACTTGAGATTGATTATAACAAAGTACTAGATAATATGGACTCCTACATCGACAGTTATAAGTTGTTATCTATTTTTGATGAAACACAGCTAAGTTTTATTTTCGAAAACTATGAATTTACCTTGGATCAAGCCATAAAGATTTTTACACATTCGTATAAGATTCCACCGTATTTCTTTTATAGATACACTAGATTGATTAAGTTAAGACCAGAAAGAGATGAAGAAAAAGTAAAATTATTACTAAAATATATAGGAAGTTGCATTAACTCTCCTTGTTTAGTACTATTAGCGAAATTACTTGGCGTCGATGAGACAAATGGACCTATTATTGATTGTGATATTGATTTATCTGAACAAGAAATTAAATCTGAAAATAATTCAGAGGAAGAAGAACAAGAAATTGTTGTTCCTGCATTGCAAAGACGAAGAGTTGAGATTAAAGACTCAGAATATATAGACCAACTTGAATATAATGCTGATGACTTCGATGACATTTATGATATTCTCAAAGATGCGTTTAATGATGACGATTTTTCTGCAATACAATATGCAGTTGATAATAAATATATGGAAACTGTAAATGATGAAAAGTATACTGTATTACTTCAGGCAGTTTTCGAATCTGAAACAGATTTCGTCAGAACACTGCTAGAATTCGGTTGCAATCCTAATGCAAAAGAAAAGAATAACAACAATGCACTGCAAATCGCAATTTCTTTTTGTACAGATAATTTAAAGTTAATATCTTTGCTGTTAGAAGCTGGAATAGATCCAGACTCTACAAATAAGGATGGGCAGAATTCATTTGACTTAGCTACTGATAAGAAAAATATATTAGATTTGTTAAATAAAAAATACAAAACATAATATTTTTAATAAACAGGAATAAGAGGTCTTTTCACACTGACATTCTCTTTTTGACTTAGAGGCATACGAGAAGATAGTATTTCTTCTTCTAAGAATTGACGAATCTGTTCTCCGGATAATAATTTCTCTGAATCTTGGTTAAATAGTAGTTTTCTACCCCACTTCTCCCATTGATCAGAGTTCTTTTCTTTTATTGCTCTAATTGAATCAATCTCTCCTTTTAGTGTTTTAATTTGTGATTCAATGTAAGAATTTTGTTCGACAATTTCAGAAACGCGATCTTCGACATCAAATTTATCTTCAACTGAAAGGAACTTCATACAATTGGCCACAATTTGATGATCTTCATTATTTATTATTTCATCTTCAATAAAATCAAGACTTTTGACAATATCTTCATCCGATAAAACATTAAGCTCTGTTTCACTATGCTGTGAATAGCTGTTAATAAAATTAACAACCTTTTCTTTTAATTCATAATTTTCCATTTTATCTTTAAGTAATTCATCTGCAGTTTTCGCTCTTGATACAGCTGCATCTCTTTGTTGTCTGACGCTCTGTAATTCTAATGATAAAGATTTCATTTCTATGAAAATTGCGTTTTTCTCATTAATTGCATTTTCTAGTTTTTCTTTGTAATCTTTGGCTTCAGATTTTGCAATTTCTATTTGCTTATTCATCTCTCTTCTGATACAATCTCCTTCATCTCTCGCAGCTCTAGCTGCTTCTCTTAGAATTGCATGAGACTTTTCATTTGCCTGGTCCAATTCAATAACTTTCTGTTTTAATTTATTATTATCATCTTTATATCTTTTAGAACTGATTGTTGCTTCTTTTTGCTTTTCTATTGCATCTTTCAGCTGTAAACCAAGATCTTCCAGTTGTTTTTCATGATTCTTTGTTTGTTCATCAATTGTTCTCTTTTGATCTTCACATATCTTTTGAACTTTTTCAGATTTTTCAATAATATTCTGGAGATTCAATTTGAGTTCATCAACTGTTTTTCTCATCTTTTCATTTTTCTCTGATAGTTTTTTATTTTCAAGTTCGAGATTTTTCATTGATGTTGCTGATTCCATTTCGTATTTTACTCTTTCAACTTCCATTTTTTCTATTTCTTCTTTGTACTTCTCTTGAACTTCAAACATTTTCTGCGTGAACTCTGTTTTCATTTTTTCTAAAGACAATCGTAATTTTTTAGCTCTTTCTCCTTCGGAAAATGCCCTTCTGAAAGCATTAATTGCAGCTTCTAAAATTGTTAAAACATTTGTTTCTGAATGTATTTCAAAGACAGATCTAAGCAATTCTAACATTTGATTTTCCTTTTCTTTATATTCTTTATTCTCTTTTATTGCCGCATTGTATTCATCGAGACTTCTTTTTAATTTGGAATTTTCTCTCTGCAAAAATGTAACTCGAGCATCTCTATCTGTTGCAAACCTACGAAGCATTGATGATGCAGCTAACTGTGAAGTAAACAAATAAAATAATGATTGAGCGTCATCTTTTCTGCTAGCGTGCAGTTTATAAGCTGTTTCTACAATAGAACTTATATCTTTTTCATCTCCGAAAGCTGAGAATTGCAATTTTTGAATTTCAGAAAGAGCTTTGAAGGTTATAGGTAGTGTTTTATCAATATATGCTGATAGAAGTGTTGCTTCTCTGATGAGTTTTTCACGAAATTCTGTTGGAATTGTTTGTTTTTCTGAAGGAAAAACAATTTCTGAAATCTTCTCATCGGATGCAATCTTCATCAAAAGAGCTGATTCTTGATCTAGTACTGAAACCAAATTAGCTAATTTGCACTCGAGGAATTTAATTCTTTCTGTTTGCTCTTCATTTTCTTTAGTAATTAAATAGGAAATTATTGTATTAATTTTGTCTTTAACAGGGATTTCTTTATTGTTTGATATCGATTCTATCTTTGTTCTAACATGACTACTTCCATATTGGATTGAATTATCTTCAATAACGTTCAAAATAAAATCTAATTGACAATTATCGGAATTTGGTTTAGATTCAACACTTTTATTCGGACTTTTTGTTTGTAATGAAGTTAATCTATCTATTAATGCCTTTTGCTTATATACTAAAAGCGTTAAGTTATTTCTTTGTTCTGTTAGTTGACTGAGTTTTTCTGACGATGATGTGAAGTTAGATTGCATGGCATTGAATACGTTTTCTACATTGTTTTCAACGCTGCTCTTTAAATTTTTGATTTGTTGTTGAGATAATTCAAGTTCGTTACGTAATGATTTTTGATTTTCTTTTAATTTTTGTATTTGTATATCCTTAATATTTTCATTTTCTTTATATTGTTCAATCTCTCTATTTAATTTCTGTATTATATCGAGTTTATCTTCTAATTCATGCGATTGTTGATAGTTAAGGTCCTTGTATTTCCTTATCTTAGATACAAGTTCATCTTTTTCGGTTTGGTATTGTTTCTCACTGTATTCTTTCGCAGAATTTTCTCGGGTTATTCTTTCAAATTCATTCAGAAGATCATCTTTTGTCTGTAAATTTAAATTATATCTCGTATTTAGCTCTGTAAAGATTGTTTTATCCATATATACTGATGAATTAAAAGAATTGCTACTTGAATTTTTGGAACTTTTTGAATTTTGTATTGGCGAAATAGGAATTCCCATTGAAGAGCCTGATCCTAAGTCTTCATCATCACTTAAATTCTCAAGTCGCTTCAATATTTCATGAAAATCATACTCATCTCCCATAATTTGAATTTTTAAACGTGCACTTTTGCAAATTTCAAAATAGAAAATCATACTACTCATGGGCAGTACACAACTCAAAAATGCTTAGGATGCACAACAAAAGTCATATCAGAATTAAATCTAATATTATTTAAATTTTCTAATTCAACATAAACAGCAGGCATTTTGCTACAGTAGAAATAGCAGTTTAATCATTTAGTATTCATTTTGCTCTATTCCTACATGAAAGAAATAAAATTCGAAAATTTTAATAAAATAAAAAGGGTTTAGATAATAACAAACAAAACAAAATAACATGATCATCTTATATATGATTATTCAGGAATGGTTTCACATGAATAGCTTTGGTGAGCGAAAGTTGATCTTAATGGGATATTTAGAGTTTGTGATCCCATAACTGGGGAACGGAGTTTGTTTAGTATTGTCAATGTCTGCTTGCAATTATGATTCTGTGGTGAAATGAAAGCGTTCTTGATTAAATTCATGCAATTCGTGATCGTCAATAGTAAATCAAGTAAATATCTTGTATCTATGATCAGATCAAAGATATCTAACACAGTCTTACGGAAATGTTCGTTATTCTGGCATGTTAGCATTTTTGTCAAAATTGTCTCTGAAGTCTTCACAATTGTTGTATCGTATTCATGTTCCTCTGATGAACTTATTAGTAGTGAACCGTTGGAAGTGGAAGTTTCATCAATTGCCGGCAAACTTGAAATGTCAATATCAAAAATAGGGCAACTTCTGCAAGATGACAAGGAATTTGCAGCAGAAACATATTTATCCATCTCGAAATGGCATACTGGTTGTTTCCTTGGTGGAGACAAGTTGACTTTGTTTTGGTATTTTATTCCGGAGTTTTCAAGTATTATGGATTTAAGGATTTCCTTGAACAACTCGGTCATTGATGGGAATGCTATTGAAACAGTTTTGTCCTGATCAGCGTTAATCCTCATGCAAAGGTCAGGAAACTGTTCATATAATAAATCCCATGATTCCTTTGTTAGATGGCTGTTCTTCAGTAATATTCTGATAATGTCATAGCAATGTGGGTTATATTCATCAAATAGGGAGAAAACTGTATCAGGATCTGAAATTGGCTGAAGAATGGAGGAATCAAATTGGTGGTTTTGAACAATTTGGAGCAGTAATAATGCAGCTTGCTTCTTCTGAGGAATGTAATTGATTAATTTCGGAACAATATTTGTATCAAGAACAAAAGTACTCATGTAAATTCCTTGTTTTATAAACAAGGACGACAAAAACATATTTACATCAATGTTGTCCATATTATCCAATAATCTGTCAATGAATAATTCTGGTTGAGTAAAATTAGAGATTAAAACAGAATTATTATAGTTAAGAAATGAAAGGAATACATTGAAGAAAAGTTTCATGATATGTGGATTGGAATCCCTCTTAATGCGTATAAAATAGTTTTGGCAAGTATCAATAAACTGCGAGCTGCCTACGTAAATTTTGATGATTTCCTGTGGTAACGTCATCATCATTGTGTAAATTGTAGATCTACATGATTGAAAACGCGGGTCTTCACTTATAAGTGCTTTGATTAAATGATCAGAATTTAAAATGAGAAACTGGGAAATAGACTTCGCTATGTTATTAGCATTGTTCTGAATCTGCAAGGAAGGTAAAACTTGTGCTAATTCTTGATCTGTGTAAGGCCGCGCCTCGAGTTTAAACCTCGTCATTCAAATAATTGAATAGTACGGGATTGTGTGTTTTACAAATAATTAACGTTAGTAAATATTGGAATATGAACTTCAGCCGATTAATTTGTTCCAGACATCGTTACGTAGATCATACAATTTTCAATAATGCCATGTTTTTGAATTGAATAGTTTAAGTTTTGAATCAAAACTACCGATTTGATTTTCAATCATATAATTAATAATAATTAATGCAGACTTCGAATCTTATTGGGAACATGATATGGCCGCGTTTCTGTAAATTATTCACAAAAGTAGTAATTATTAAATAATTATGATCATCTGATGTATAGTAATTTTTATAGATTTAATGGTTTAATAAATATCAGAAAAATTAAGTCACGTATTGAAATAAATTTAAGGGGAAAAAATGAGGGAGCCGAATATGATAAGTTGTTCGGCGTTAACGATTCACTATTTATGTATTATTATATAAGATAGTTCTCGATCATTTTCTTTTCGATTCACTATGAAGAACATACAAAAATAAAAATAATTTTGCTTGGAATAGATATCCGTATATATTTCATATTAGTAAAATTCTCCTATCTTGATAACTAGAACCTAACTTCCGTCAACGAAAACAGAAATTCAGAAATTTCAAATGAATTCATTTAAAATCTTGAAAATCAAGTGGATAAATTATTAAATTCTCAATTTGTGAAACTTGATGAATTCAATATTCGGGCGACAGTTCTTGAATTTTAACTGAGGAGGAATTTGGATCATTCATGTTTAACTAGGTACGGATTTGGATGAATCACATAGTTCAAATTCCATGAGTTTTATTTTTAAAATCTCAACTTTCTACCTGATGTTAAATTTAATGAATTTATTTCAAGTCAAACAATCATAATCAATTGTTGATTACAGGGATTTTAATTCCATAAGAACTGCTCATAAACTATATTATAATCAAAGAAACTAGTTGAATTTTCAAGATTTGCAATAATATACTTAAAATTATAAGCGTTTTTTAACAATTAGTATAATTGCAATCATGCTTTCTCACACATACAATTTCCTCTATTATAAGTTCAATTTTATAAGAGACACATACCTGATGACAATGCATTTGCCAAATATAAATTCAGAGGATGGAGAAATTTTGAAAATTCAATGTCTTTATTTTTTTAAAAATAACATTTAAAATTTATTAACAGTTAATGGTAGCATTAGTGGCGGTTAATTCAGGAAAAGTGACAAAAATTAAATTCAAGATTTAATGATAATTTAATTAATGTTGACCCGGGTATCTTAATTTTAATTTTATTTCATTCAAAAGGGACACAAATTTCTTGAACAAATTTGTGGCTTCTAGAAATATCATTTATTTAAATGAAAAGTCAAATAAATGATGAGGCTCTAGATGCTTGTTGGATTTTAAGTAGACAACTTTCAAAATTAATTCCATCTTCGATTTCACTGGATGAACTTTTTATTTTGGAAAAGAAAAAAGTATCAAGTGATACAGATATATGTTCCAGCTATATTCCTCCTAAACCTATCATTCAAAGATCAAATGATCCTCCAAATGAAAAAGTAGTAGGATATGACGGGTTTAGTGACCTTTTTTGTTACATCTATATATAGACGATGCATTAAAATATATTTATTTATAAATCATTAAAAAATTAACATTAATTTTAAAATAATTTATTTTTTTATCTTTTATAAAAGAAGCTATATATAGATGATGTCAGATATTCCGCGATTAATTAAACATTGTTTAAATCCTGAATGGGTTAAACTTCAATTTAAAAATGAAGATTGTGAATTATTAAATGAATATGAAAGCCAAAATAAGCTAATGAGGTATAAATATAATGATAAAGAATATTTAATTTCATGGAATCAATGGAGTTATAATCAAAGACCTCATAAACGAGAAGAAGAAATTGAAAATAATGAAATGGAAATCATTGATGACATTAAAGAGGATGGAATTCCTAAATTTTGTAGAAAAACCTTTAGAACTAAGTTAGGAGCATATAAACGTAGAGTATTAAATCCTGAATATCTTAAACATCAATTTAAAAAGGAAGACTGTGAATTATTAAACGCTAATGAATATGAAAATGCTAAATCAAAACTGAGATATAAATATATTGGAAGTGATGAAAGGTGTAAAGATAAAGATAAAGTTTATTCAGTTTCATATAATAACTGGCACACGTTAGGGATAAGAAAACATTTAGGAGATTATGGGAAATGTTCTGAATTCTTTAAATCTAGTATATACGAGAGAGTAAAAGAAATTAGAAATAATTATTTTCATGAATAAAAAATAAACTTCTTACGAAAAATTAAAACTTAGTTATGTTTATTATTTTATTTTTTTATTTTGTATGAAATGAGCGTCAAAACTAACAACGTTAAAAAATTAGGATTCACAAACGAGGAAATAAAGGATATATTAGAGGAGGTAGGTTATGAAGTTAATAAATATTATTTAAGAAATTGTCAAAAATTTGCCGAGTTATTAAATGATTTAGATTATGATGGAAAAATGAATAAAGATGATGTTATAAATTTCTTATATCCCACATCTGAAGAAGAAAAACCTAAAGAACCTGATGTTTTCCCTGAATATTATGAAGAACGGATTAAAGATGATGAATACAATGAAATTGAAAGACTGAAAAAAATAAGAGATGAAATAGATGAAAAAATTAAGGAATTAAGAGAAGTTGAAAAATATAATGAAAATGAAGTAGAGGGTTTAATGAATATCCCAGCTTCAGAATCAGAAGTTCAGAAATCTCATGAAGAAAGATATAAAAATTATGTCTCAGAATCAACACAAAATTTATTAGATGGTGAAATAGACGAAACACTTTCAGAAGAAGGTACTAAATTTATACGTAAACATAAGTTACAATTTATTGATAATGAAAAATACCCTTGTATCTTATTTTCACCACCTTTAGATTCCGAAAAATTCAAAAAAGCTCTTAAAAACGTGACATATGCAACTAATACGATTAAGAAAGAAGATCATGATATTTACACAAATTATTATTTAAATAAATGCACAGGTGTTGATAAAGTTTTTGATTTATTAGATAAAATATCAAAAGAAACCATTGGAACATATAAAATTTTATGTGATTGCGGTTTCATTGTTGAAGATACTAATAATGTTTCATATGAAAGAACAGCACCGAAGGAAGATGAAGTGGAAAAGTCTATACCATTCGTTATTAAGAATATAAAAGATATGAAAACGTATAAGCATTATATTTATTCATTTATTTCAGAAAAAATGGAAGCAACCCATAAAACATCTTCTCATCATTTTATAGCTATTCATACATTCCTTTTCAAAGTTGTGAAATTAAATAAGACAGGAATTAGATTTAATGTATCAGGGTACGCATTCTTGAGTAAATTAAAATGTATTCGTCACGTCGCAGATGATAAAAATTTATGTGTTCTTAATTCATTTTATGGGCTTTAAAAAATAAACTTTATTTTTGTTTATTTTTTAATTTTTTATTCTTACATAAATGAACAAAAACGGAACAGCTAAAATGAATGATAATCAAATTAGAGCAGAAGGTAGAAGGTTATTTAAACGCTTCTATAACATTCCTGATGGTGCTAATCCTAAAACTCGTAGAAGCTATTTAAATGAAGCAATAGATGCATATGAAGGGTTTGACATTTCATCAGAAAGTGAGAGATTAGCGAGAATGTTAAATGTTAATATTGATTTCTATTATTGTGATCCTCAACCAGAAGACGTGGACATAAATAAGGTAGACTTTCCATTAGTGGAATCAATAATGATAGATCCAGAATTTGAAACAGTAAATATTTTATTAACACAGAGTCCATGTGGAAAACTTCACGCTGACAGAATAACAGACGTTGAAGCACTCACCGGCTATAAAGTTTGTCCATATTGTAAAGAAGAAGTTTATTCTATCCGTAATGATCCAGAAAGGAAAAACCAAAGAAGATTTTTAAAGCATTGTGAGAAATGTAAAGAAAATAATGGAAGATTAATTCAAGACGTTCAATTGCAAAAGACCCAGCAACCATATGCACCACATATTACGAAACAGAAGATATATCAGTGGTTATTAGCTCACAATTTGCAGAAATATTATAAACCGACAAGATCTTATATTACTTTTGACTTCGAAACATTAGAGACTAAAGAAGAATTACAACTTTCTGAGTGTGCAACTTTGAACGCTTACTTAAAACCATTCATGGTATCATCAACGGTTAAATTAAATGATAAAACGTATACGAGGAATTTTTGCTTAACTTCGAGTGATTCTTTTATTTCTGATTGGATTGAGTTTTTATTTTCAACCTGTTCATTAGTTGTTGAATCAAATATTGAACAATATGAAGAATTAATGAAGCCGCAAACGGCGGGGACTTTGTCCCATACATTAAATGAAAAACAGAAGGAAGCATTTAAAGAACTTCTAGATGAGGAATTCAATAAAGTGAATATCATAGGTTTTAATTCGGGAAAGTTTGATTTAAATTTAATTCTTCGTGATTTAAACACTGCAAAATGGAAAATAAAATCAATGCTGGGTTCATCTTCACAATTTAAGCAAATCATTGTAAAGAAAACAAACGTTCCATATGAATTGAGATTTATTGACATCAGAAATTATATAGCGGGTGGAACATTAGACCAATTCACTCAAGATTTCGGAAACAATAAATCACGTGTTAAATCCTTTTTCCCTTATCAATTCATCACGTGGGAAAATTACGAAGAAGAATTATATAAAGTGGAACCATTCACTCAA